TTCATCACCTTACACGAAATAGGGTGAATACATCTCATTACACTGATTTACTGGTAGTCTCGAAGCCCTATTCTAATACGAACATACAGAATAGCCTGCAGTGGGCTTAATGGGCAGCGCAAATCGGCCGCCTGGACGATGACGATGCTGTGGCGGACTGACGATAGCCGGAGCCATGATCTGGTAGTTTTGGTCAATACCGGCGGCTGCCTCAGTGACCACGGCCAGCATCAGGTCGCCAACCATCATACGCCTGACGACAGAGGCCGAGCGCTTCTCACTCGTCAGACTGAGGTTGGTGCGTAAGTTGGTCTCGCTGGGTGAGCCGGGAGCCTGGCCCAGGCTGGCGACGCCGAAAGCCGTTGTGTGGCGACTTTTCTGATGGGACGGCTGCAGATGTGCCCGATCCGATGATCTGTCCGTATTTTCGCCGGCGAAGCTGGTCTCTGGGTGTGACGTGGAGGCGGCTGCAGGAGTGATCGGTGCAATGGCGTTCAGAGAGGGCAGACTGGCACTGGCCTGTATCTGGTTGCCCAGTTGCATCTGCAGGTCGTGAGACGCCATAATTTGACGCACCAGATATTCCAATTTCTGTATATGCCTTTCAAGCTGAGCGTCGCGAGGGGATGACGGAGGATGGCAAAAGTTCAATAGTTAGAAGGAGATAAATTTAAGAAAACATACATTGAAGGGAAAGATGAAAAGCTAAGCCAACAAGTTCATCACACCAGAATTTCGTGAAACCCTTTTGGCAATAAGCGTCTTCATAACTTGTCTTCCAGCTCGTTGAGGTTGTATTCACAATGTAATTAAGCCCTGAGCATGTCCTAAGAAGTAAAATAAGCCAGGCCGGCATAGAGTTCCAGAGGACCACAGAAACCACGGCGAAGCTGATCAAAGTTTGACTGTTAACAATTGCTAAGTTCAGCTCCACTTCGAGTGCAAGTGCGCGATAAAGTCACTCAAAGGTCGATGCCACCAGAAAACGACGGTGGATTATTATCTTTTGGTCTTAATGGAATAAGCTTGCTGAGGTTGTCGCCGGGGCATTTTTCTTCGATTCCTGAGAAAACGGTCTAAATTTTCGTCCATTATATGACGGACGTGTCTGTAGGCCTGTTTGTGTCTGCTTATGTGACTTCATATGTACGAAACAAGCTGTGGTAGCCCAACGCAATAAGAACGAAGCGTAATATGTATCGTTTATCATCAAAGCCACTTTTATTTAAACCATCATTCCGAATTCAGGCAAACGTCTGGTTATGTTGATGAGTTTTTTGTTTACGTATGCGCGTGTACGAGAATGAAGTAAAATGCAGATAAAATATGATTGGCATTAGAACCATGACCAACAAACAACTAGTTTAGTCGCCTCCATTTTCCAAGCGACACAATACACTCCTTAAATATATTAATTAGGCCAAAAGTACTTCTTAACTTTTCATCGAAGGTACTGGCAGCCAGTCTATTTCCCGTTTATAAGTAGGTTTTGGAGACTATTAGCAGATCATTTATGTACTAAGTGTATCCATTATATTCGTATCTGAGTAGAGCTTCGAGACAACCAGTAAATCAGTAATATGAGAGGTATTCACCTTATTTCACGAAATAGGGTGAATACCTTTCATATTATCCACTATATTTCATGATTTATAGGTTTAGATGGCCAATTTTTAGTCATTTAACCTCAGATACAATAATCTGAAAGACCAGTTTTAGGCTATTCTGCCACATACCAAGTTTCTGCCGTGTTTTCCGGCATTGATTTTTCATACAACACACTCTACAGGCATTTTTGTGTTCATCTGGCACACCATTCTTTAAGTTTGACAAAGCAAGAGAAAGGGATTCGTAGATTGGCCTCACAAGATACCGTTGAACTTTTGTCTATTGGATTATGCGAAGAAGAACTCGCTTCACCATCCGTGCTGAGGCCTCGTCCATCATGTGACGGACATCGTCAGAGCCAGAAACCATTATTCATTCATTATTTAGTATTCACCAAAACCACTAAGCCAAGAAAGGTGGCCGGCTGAGATCCTACTTACTTCATACACCTCACTTTGCGACCTGGTCTGCATAGGAAATTTTCCAAACACTCGTTGCCATGCTGTCAGATAGCAAATTAATCATCCAACTATCTTACCAATGTATAGAGGTTGTTTGACCTTACCAATGGTTCCGAAACTAGGAGTGACTTTTGATAAAGCCGGACTTGTAATTGAGCCATGTAGTTAGTAGCTAAAATGGATACAAACACGATCCCATAGCTAAACCTCCGGTTTACTCTTAATGGTAAAATATCTACTACTCATTATTAAGTAGGCCAATCTCATGATTGACTCCTTGCTCATCCTATTTCCTGATATCATCTCCGGGTGTAGATCTAAGGTTAATCCTAATGCTCCACTTATCGGTGTATTCGTGTACATCGAAGCTACATTAAAACTTACTAACAAATGTTCTTGTTCTATTGCTTGCTCGTCTATTAACTTTATAAAGTCTTAAGAATTCTTTATCGAAAATTTCCAAATATCTGAGATTTGCTTTAATTGACCAAAAAGTAATCTTGATGTTTCATGCATAACAGCATCCTTATTTTTCAGAATGATCCAAAGTTGGACCCCCATTGCGGATTTTTGGCAGACCATATCCATTTATTAAGTCAATAGATGAGCAAATAATAGAAAATGCCTGGCCTTCCTTGAAATTCGCAGCTGCTCTCTGACCCAAGAGCACTCGTGGCAATGTGACGTGTCGAGGTTACACGCTGCACTGTCATGGGCCGACTCCCACTGGGGGTGTTGGTAAGACCTAGGCGATATCAAAACTCCAGTCCAGCCTGGATGAGAATACCTTTTGGGAAAGCAAGGCTATGTGAAATTTAATGGAAGCATCAGCTCAACTCATATCCTGGTAGGAAAATTCAACAACCACCTTAAATGAAATTGGGTGAATACATCTCATATAACTAGGAACTATCTCTGTCTGCTGAATTGAATTAAAGAGAAAAGGAGAGAAAAGAAAAGGAAGCAGAAAGAGCCACTGAATAAGAGGAGAATGCTTGACTAAGCTGGAGTCTGGTTTTTGACCTCAAATTACCCTTAACTCGTAAGTGTTGCATACATACACGAACACGGATCCATGAAACTATAACAAGCCCCAGGACTTTAGAATCATACGTTAGTTCGTTTACATATCACTTTACTACATGCTTGTAGAACAAGCATAACACAACCAACTAAATCATGGAATGCCTCATTAAGATCACAGAGTGAGGTATAAGAAGTAAGTAGGATCTCAGCTGGCCACCTTTCTTGGCTTAGTGGTTTTGGTGATTGCTCATGAATAATGGTTTCTGGCTCTGACGACGTCTGTCGCATGACGGACGAAGGCTCAGCACGGAGTCTTCAAGATCGTATGGCGATAAGCCGAGGTTTTCTTCGCATACCTCAACAGACAAAATTCCAACGCAACCCTCCTTCGGTATCCAGTGAGGCCAATCTACGAATCCCTTCCACTCGCCTTTTCAAACAAAATTAAAAATATGCCAATAATAATTGGTCAAGGTTCTCCATAAAAGTCGGCATTACTGAAGAAAGTGTCATAGTTACCTCAAAAACCGTTTTTATACTCCATTTCTTTAAGAGATCGAAAGAAAGAAAAATCGGGGCTCGAAAAAAGATCTTGGTTTTTCATCACTTCTTAAATATTCCTCATTTAAAATGAGAATTATTTATTTATGTGATATTATTTTTATTAAAGCCTAGGGAATAATTATTATAAATTAACATTGGTTTAAGCCTATCTGGTTCATTATTTAAACGCTATCTACTGGTTAATCTAATAATCCTAATAATCATTCATTGCAAAATAACAAACTTAGTTTAGTAGCCATGAGTAAAGAAGAAGTTGATGATAAACCTAGCATGTATAGGCGTATATATATATATATATATATTTATATATATATCCATCCCAATCCAACTTTCTTCTTGCTCTGACTACTGAAACATCTAAAAACGATATGCCATTGCCCTTCCCAATTTCAATTATAAACTCAAAAATACTAGCTCTCTGGCTAATAAAGAGGAAATTATCTAATTCATACTTACCAAAATACCAAAGAGCAAAATAAGCATCCGTATATATAACTGATATTTTTAGGATCAATCTTATCTCGCCAAAATGGGAGCCAAACAGGATGCCGTTGCCAGTCCTTGAGCTTATTCATAAAACGTATGACTAAATGTGAAGTGTCTGCTAAGATTAATCAGTCTTAAGAATGAACTTTTGCCTCGATCTTCTGAGTACTAGTGCTGGAATAGCTACAT